TTTCTGGATAAAATGGCGAAGGTACGGAGTTGGCTAGCTTGCATAACGACAAGTGTTCGACAAAGCTACATGGGTCCGCTTGCAGTCTGAGCAACAAATGTATACAGGAAATTCCAGATGCCCTAAATTATTTATTTTCTCGTCTAAACTTATTGGTCCTGATAATCAGATGATAGACTGTTCGGATTTTCAAAACGTGAATTAAATGTGCCGTGACTACTGTCTTTGGTTGCTGAAAATGTTATGTTGAAAACCGTATTAATCATCAGTAAGCATAGCCAAATCTTTTTTTTATTCCATCTACCCCAAATTGAAGGTGATGGTTAATGATCTAGGTCAAATGTAACAGCGACGACTTTGAATTGGTAACGTTGAAAAATGGATGGCAAAGAACGTAATTAACGCTACTTAGATGGGCAAAAATTCGATAATACATTCGTTGCTTTAAGTTGACGTCATGTCGTTGTTCACTCAAAAGCAGATGCCATTTATTCATAACCTCTTCTTTAGCGACACATCGACGTAATGTTTTGTATATTTTCGTATTTATAGCAAGCTGTCCATATATGACTCGTTCCTTGGACTAGCACTGACATTCATGGTTGTCGGTACAATGTATCCGCTGGCGGTGTATACGGGCTGCATATTGCTGCAGACCAGTCCAACGCACATCCTCCCGCAGCTGGACAAATGCCTTCGCGAGGCTGGCACACTGGACGGCGTTTTGGAGATCGCAGAAAGTCACTTTTGGCAGCTATCTCTGACGAAAATGGCCGGCTCGGTTACGATTCGAGTTCGACGCGACGCGGACGAACAGCTTGTTCTGGCACACGTGACCGACAAGCTTTATCCTTTTGTTATTGATCTGACCGTCCAGATTAACAAAGATACGCATTGGAAGCAGCCTCTCTAAGATTTATTTCATGGTTCTATTGCTATTTGTTTTATTTGCATTACTCACATTTCAACGCCTGCTAAGAGCTTCAAGTATTCAATGTTGGTAATCGGTTTTTGCATTGTTTGTTGTTGAATCTGTATTCACTCCTCGGTCTGCTGCGTTTTCTTCTTTGTTGCTGGGCTGAATTATCGTTTTAATAACATAATGGACACGGTTGAAACAGTTGTTTTCAATAGAATTTCGGTTTCTTCGTCATAATCATATTTTTCATTTTTCCTAAATTATCCTGCAGCTGTGCGGTCATTCAGCCCGTTGTTTCTCGTCTGCGTGTCATAATAACGCCTTTTATCGCCTTTTCATCGATCTGCTTATGTACCGGCGAAACTGATATGCCGAAGCGAATTCAGTCGAACCTGTCAAAAAGTCGAACTTTCTATTCTTGTCAGAATTGCTAAATTCAGTCATATGTCAGTGAAAAACTTGATGTTCCCTCTTTTCACAGAAGCATGAGCTGCTTGTTACCTGAATGAGACCTATGAATAGGTGATTTTAATACTACTAAATTATGGTCTTCTTTGTAGATAATTGTGCAGTTCTAATATCTGTCTTAATGTTCTGTCCTTAGATCATTTTTTAGTTTCTCACCGGAATACAACCACTAAGCTTGAAACTGAACTAGCATTGCCTCCATTTTCATAAAACTAAGCCTAAGCAATGACGAAAATAATGCCTCGAAAGTTCGAAGTAGGTCAAAGTAAATAATGAAATTTAACATGGGTAATGTTTTATTCCTTGGAATATAAATAAAAATTAACTTCTATGTAAAAATTTTGCTTTTGCACGATAAGTATAATATAACGTTCTTAAATTAATCTGAGCAAAACATTACATTAGTTGCATTTTACATTTCAAATGAGCCATTTAGGCTAACAAAGTCCTTTATCTAACTTAGATTAACCTTGAGTTTCTCGCTATATACATGCCACGTTTCATGGTTCACCGAAATCTGAGCATTTTAAGAGAAGGATTCCATAGGAAGCTTCGAAAAACAATTCATTTCTCCTGAACCTTGCCCTGGTAGAGGGCTACTACCACATGCGGTTCACCTAAGCTATGTAATTGTCAACTATGATCGCAGTTTATATAAATAAAATGCATCACTAAAGCTTTTGATCAAGCAAGCAGATTCAGAGCAATTATCTAAATAACGCTACACCGCAGCCTCTCCTGATCTCAGGATTGGGAAGGTTGGGAAACAAGGTGGCCGTATTTTCCTCGAAATGTCTGAAAACTATGTTCCGGAGGATGAATTGGAATAGCAGGATTATCATGATTAACGAACATTTCAACAACCTAAGGTTCGTTGATGATGTGACTTGGTGATCGAAATACGCCAAACAGCTACCAACCATGCTGAAAAAAACGAGAGAAAACTGTTGAAGTCGGCAAATTAGTCGATCAAAGACAGACACAACGATCGGATGCCTTACCCAAGGCCCAGTAATTATTAAACAACAAAAGATTAACGAAGTCGACGAATGCTATTACCCGAGCCATGATATCAACATGCAGAATGAGCAGGCTGAAGAAATTTGATGGAGAAAAGGGTCAGTTAACCCGCGTTCCACTCCATCAAGGATGTCCTCTCGGCAACGTTAGGTTAAAATCCTACCTCCATTTTTTTTCAGCCCTACAGTTTTGCCTACAATGTTTTATAGCTGCGACAAGTGATACTTAATTAAGCCGAAGAGAGCCAGCTATTTATCACCGAGAGAACCATCGAGACAAAAATGTTAGGAATTTTAAGTCGCGACCACTCCCGAAACACGACGATCAGACATGAAACGGGAGTGAGAACGCCGTCGTCGAAAGCAGAAAGAAGAAGGTACGTTGGGTATTTCGGGTCACTACGGCGGATGTCAGCTTGCTCCCTTGTGGTTGAACTAAGCCGAAGAATCCATGAATGGCAAAAATATAATCTACTAGGACCAATTGTGTGGAAGAACTCTACTCCAGACTCGGAATATCTTTTGCTGAAGATGAAACAACTGAGTGTTAACGTCTTTGAGGACACTGCTTGACGCATGTGCCTTTTCTACTTGTAAGGAAAAGCGAAGCTACAAACTGACTTACTTATTTACTCCGCCGTAAGACTGAACTTAGAAGGAGAAAATGAATCAAAATTTTCAACATGATCTACAATGACAATGATAAATAATAAAAAACAGCGAAAGGCTGCACCTTACTGCATTACTCCTCTGAAAAGGATATTCATTTAAACACTTAAGGTGTACATTTTAACAGTAGAAGAAAGCTATTTCAATAGATGGCGCTCAATACCTTGCCACTATTAATGGTTTGTATTAATTTAAGATTAAAGCCTTGGAAAATTATGACGATTATGACTACAGGTTTCGCAAGGATGTAACTTTTAAATCAATATACTGTAGTCAGATACTACCGTGGTGAATGCTAAACATGTTATCAGCGCAATCCTCCGTGTACTGGTTTTGTTGAATTTACCGTTGTCTTGTGATTGTGTTTCATACACATGAAACTAAACCTATAGAGTTCAGACTCCTGGAAGATTCGGTTGATCATGAATTTATATGGGTTCTCTGAAGAATCAAGCATATTTAGCATGAAGAGCTTGTTTTATTTTTTCTGAAACCCGTTTCGTTCTTTTAAAAATAGCTGTCTGTACATTTTCATAATTGAAATATAAGTTCCTTTGGAGTTAGCTGTAGAAAAACATGTTTGTATCTACTGAGATTATGCTGCTCCCAAATCGAGATTTCTAGTTGATTTAGAACGTATTCCATTTAGTAGTACTGACTTTCGGGTCTTATTGTGATGCTAATTCTCATGATGCCGATGCTAATTTTTCATTACGCATGGCTAGAGGTCGATATATAGCCGCTGATGTCTGACCAGACATAGTGGTGAAGTTCTGCATCCTTGCACTGCAGGAGCGAAAATTCCATACTGCATCATCTGTTCCCTAGGCTATCCGAATGTAGGGGATACTGCGACTGCGCCTTGCGAATTTGGTGAAGTAACAGAAGGTGTTAACCTTGCTTGTTGTTCATTTTTAGTTCTAAGATAGCTGATTTCTTTTATGGAATAAAACTTACACATGCGAAAAGCTAAGACCCTTTGGCTTTGTTGCGCGATTAAATTCTTACGAAAGTTAGAACTTTGCCTCGGGTTGAATGTTATTGTAATAATTACAAGTCACTTTCCCAAATGGCCCTGTCGAATGTTCGTAGAATGTTCGCTCTCTAATCCTAT